AATTTGTTTGCGCCTTTGAAGAAAGTCCCACTATATTAGAAATAAAGTACGCTTGTATCTGCCTCTCGTTAAACTCTGTAATGAATCAGCCGTCTTGGTGAGTCCTCTGTAAAATGTTATAAGTGGTGAGGGGGGCTTTGGGGCGCTGCGGCGCAATGACTTGAGAGAGGAAAAACAAGCTTCCTGGGAAGTTAAAAGAACATTACTTTGCATGAAATATACCTTTGGGGAATCTTTTTAAAGGAGCCCACTGGAGCGGTCTTCTAATTACATTCGGTACTGGTGCTTGTTTGTACTCTTTGATCACAAAAAGCAAAAACTTCCATCGAACTTGTTAGTAAGCAACTCGTTGATCAAGGTGACGAGACACATTTTCCACTTTTTTTTTTTTTTTTAACGCTGCAATCTGCAGCCAGGTTCATTGCAAATGAGAATCTGTTCTCAATTGCCTTACCTGGATAAATAAAGGTCAAATAAAATCAATACAAACATTTTTACCCAATAAATATAACAAGATAGAGTGAAAGCACCATCCAGTCAGTGGCGCTAGATGTATGATTGACATGTGGAATGACCAGTGACCACTGTAATGGAACTGCACAATCAGTAATTCTGCATGTTTTGGTTGATGTAAAGACCAACCACTGCCAGCGTAAGAAATGGCCAATGACTGGTGTTGCTTGCAATGACAGACGAGTAACTGCGTGACAACAGTGACGGAAAAGCTGCTGCTTTCGATGATTTCCTGATAGACTGGCCCACCAGTAATATGTCACCTCTTTCAATTTTTGACATGCCAACTGATTTTGACAGGCCACCCGAAGCTAAAATCTTCTAATTACATTCGGAACAGATGCTTGTTGGTGCGATTTCATCACGCAAAGAAAAAACGACTTTCATCAAACCCGTCGGTAAACAACTCGTAGATCAAAGTGACCCAAGAGGAAGTGAACAAAATATGGAGGAGGAACATTGTTATGACAAAGCGGTAAGATGGTTCAAAACAGTAAAATACAATTGCATTGATTTCGGATTTGGCAGTGTGTCCACGGATACCAGTGCTGTGGGAGTGACCCGACGCTCGGGACGAGCTCATGTAAACAACATTTCCACCGAGCGCTCGATTAGTATTCTGTCCTCTTTCGCTTCGAACGAGTCACTCTTTTAAATCGGTTTCAAGCTTGACTATACGTATCAAATCATATGGTGAGGGATTTCAACCAGATGAAACAGCCCTCACACCTACTTTGATGCATCCCGAGATGGTGAAGGCAAAAAGAAAGTATTGCCCATCTGTCTGCATCATAGTATGGCTCATTTGGACAAATTCCCGAGCAGGACTCCTTAACGTATAAGCCCTCTTGTTTTGTACTTTGACAAATTCTTCTCGGGCCCTTCTCTCCAACAGACCCCAATCAGAATGATGAACCCTCGACAGATGGACGACGGTTAATTGCGAAGCTATGTTGCACCTGTGCCATCTTCTCATGTGGGCGTAATTGAACTCAAAACCACCAAGCCAGATCTGCACGGCGACATCAGGCCTCATTAGATCATACAGGTGTTCCTAATGAAATGGTCCTTGAGTAGAGACGATAACGCTGGCTAATGTGCTATAAAGCTCTGGAGCATATTTAAGGAGGAACAAGCACAGTAACGCCACTGTGTGCTTTTGTAGCATTAGGCGCCAAACAGAATCATAACCCTGAGTCACATTCTTGTGTTCAAATTAAATATGAGACACTTTAATTGGGTCCCCATTAAAGCTGCTGAACCTCATTAACACTGTCCACCTCGTTGGGCCCCCCTCCCTCTCTTTATTGATATATTGTTATAAATAATCACTCCTTTAAGAAGGGAAAGGCAATATTTATGTAGTTTTTACACGGCGAAGCGTTGCATCAGTGCATAAAAACAGCACTCCAAATAAAAATCAATGGCGTAAAATAACTGTTGTCGCGCGTTTACAGTCCCCGAGAGGAGTTTGGTGTGAGGCTCCACGGTCTTCAAGGTTGAAATCATTTACTGAGGAAATCGAGCGAAGATGAGGCGGCAGAAGAGATACTGAGACGTACGGTATATTTGGACATGTGTCCTCCTTTCGATTTATTTTTAACTATTTCTGCATATTGTCACCCTAATAATGCTCCAAGTCATATTTTGACAAACAATAGATAGTTTTTGCCTTAGAAATGTCCTTGGAAGGCTGGCCACCTCTCCTAAAATTGGCTACTTTCTTTGCTTAACAGATCATTCAATTCTATTCCCCCGAAAATAAATTATTAATAAATATATTATCAGTAGTTGGTTCTGTTTTTTTTTTGTGTGTGTGTTTTTGATTAAAAAAAGGGGAAAAATGACTTCAGCCATTATTTTAGAAAGGTGACGACATTCTTCCAGGAAAACGTCTCCAGTTATTTGTGTTCTTTGCAATATTGATGCTGCTGCTGCTGCTGATGATGATGATGATGATGATGATGATGATAATGATGATGACGATGTTGTGCACGCGTAACCACGGTTACAAAAGTAGCATCACAGAAAATGGAAATCTTAAGAGCCGTAGGGTAAGACTGCTCATGGCACTTAGTGTACTTTATGTCCCCCTCGGAAGGTTGGACAGGCCATCACTTAAATAGCACCATCTTAAAGGTGAAGTGTTTTTCCACTCAAGTCTGAATGATGCACCGAAGCAAGCCAGTAATGTACTCACTTTTGAAAAAGATGTTGTTTTTTGTGTGCCACTGACTATATGTACAATGTGCGTGCCCACTTTTTATACACAGTCGATATTGTCTGCAGATTGGGTAGCGCTGCCGATCGGCGAGCGGATGTAACGACTGACTGGTACGCAAGCTGTGTGATCAGTCACGAGGGAAAATGGATATGCCCGGGAAAAACAAGACACTTGGTCACTTCCACGACGACTACTATTTCTACTTAAGGCTTGAAGTTGATTTGCCATGCTGGTCTGTCATTATTGATATGCTGTAAAAAAAAAGAAAAAAATGTTCACAACCACCACAAAATAGTTTCGAGAAAACGAAGACTCTTGGGCAGGGCTCCTAATCCTACTACTGCGACAACAAATATTACCACTACTAAAAAAGGACAACACATGCAAAGCGATAACAGTGGTGATTTGATTTTTTTTTTTAAATCTATCTTTACTTTTTTTCTAGTACGTCAGGTTTTTGAGATGTTTTAATTTTTAAGTGTGACATATAAAACCTTGCCCAATACGGATTTTTCGATGCATTGCAATTTATAGCTGTATGTCATTTCAGAAAAAAAAAAATCCATGTTTTGCTGAATTTAACCCCTTCATTCATAAATATTACTAAATATATTACTACAATACACTTGGTCACTTCAAATCCTATTTCAAAATGCGGCTCCCATTTGAATTTGCCATGCTATACTGACTTTGCATACAGCCAATGTTCTAATCAGATAATGAAAGATGTGGATTTTGAAATTTTCAACCATTACAACTGATGATTGGAAATTTATGCCATGATTAATATGCCGACTTAATGGGAACATCTCTGGAAGACTACCAGGCAATCATTAAAAGAACCCAGGTAGGCATGTTTAAAAAAAAAATAATAAAATAAAAAAATTGCACATTGCAAAAGTGAACCCACGCTGGTGTAAAACACACAACCTCCTTTGCACACATATTAAAAAAAGTGTCCCATCATCCCGGTGCACAGATATTAGAGGGTTTTTGAAGCCGATCACGACAGTAATGAGCAAATGAATCAGTGCGCAAGTGAGCCGTGCCACCATTCCAAATCACTCGGCGCTATCATGAAGATGTGCCCTTTTGATGAACATGCTGCTAATGACATTAATTCAATATAGCAAATGAGTTCTTTGCTCACTCATCTATCCGCGCCGCGTTAATCAACAAGTACAATAAATGTAAAATAGTCTCGCGTGTAGCGCACGCATGAGCAGGTGCAATCGAATCCCCCTCGACAGTGTCGAAAGCGATGCGCGGGCGATTCACTGCCGCGCAGTCATGCCGCGGCAATTACAACAAGCCGGCCTCGGGCGAGCGCGCCTTTGTCAGCTCACAAGCCGGGCACCCTTGTTCTGACGGAATGAGCATTGCGGCACGCAGTTGTCATTCTACTTGTCGGAGGCACTTTGTGTCGCGTTTTATCCGCGAACGTGTCAAGGTCGCCTGTCGTGTCCACTGACGGACGCGATGAGGTTTGGTTTGCGAGGGAATATTGACATCCCGTAATAGAACTTTAATTTGGGCATGATGAAAAAAAACTCCTCATGGTTAATCAACTGCTCGATGCAATCGAGACAATATGGAGTGAGTGCTTGACTTTAATTCAGAGGATTCAGACTCAGCTTGTTTGCTGTTGTAAATAAGCGGATAACACAACGGAAGCTACAGTCACGCCATTCAGCACAACACTAGCAACGAAACAAGAATTCAGAACATTCAGAGTGATTTTCCCTGTCTTGTTGCCATTGAGGTAAGAAGTAGAGCGTGCACAACTTGACGGCAACCACATTCAGTCTCAACCCGTTTGCTGGCTGAAGAGGCAAAGAACAAGATGTCATCTCCACTCACAATATTCCAAAATGTTTTCCCTCAACGTTTTGTAAAAATTGTAAATCCAAATAATTCTAGGAGTGCGCAGTAATATTTCAGCATTGCGGAAAAAACATTACCAGTAAGTAATTAGTAATAATTGTTATAACAAAAAAATGTAATATTATTTAAAAATATAAATAAGAGCCTAGCACACCTGAAACTGGATATAAGCAACATTGAATAACTGCTCAAATGGCTTGACATACTATTTCTATGATGACTGCTGCTAGAGGATATGGTCACTGCCCCTAAAATTGTACAGGCTATTATTTCCCCCGCCATACCGGATCATAAAACATGCCCATATACTTTGTAGTAGAGAAAGGAATTCAGCGAAGATTTTGGATTTGATGATTGTCCCCGGGCGAGTGTTTCTTACCATTCTGCACATCCAGGACGTGGTGCTTATCCAGCATCCACCCTCCCATGTTGGCGGCGTCCACCTCATAGCCCTGTAGCAACGCCGTCCTCTTCTCCCAGTGCACCACGTCCAGGCACGACTCGTACTCGTAGCCCACCGACACTGAAAGACAAAGCAGATTTGTCATTTCCTCAGGCATCATTTACAGTAGCGAGCACGCAGAGGCCATACGTCCAACTCACACACTAGTAATCTTTTTTTTATACACTCCTTCCAGCGTGTTGAGGACAAGTCCACATACAGTACTTTGTTACTGTACTTTTGGAGTGGAGTCTTCAAAAACCTTCCAAGTATCTGTACCTCTGCTTTAGTATGGAGTGAGTACTTTTGCCAGCTTTCCCTTATGTGCCTCCGTCATCATACGGCGTTAGCATCATTGCAGTACCAGGCCACGGGCCATTTGGTACTAGGCTGCACAGAGACAAACCAAGATCTTTTGTTGTTTGTTTTCGTCTTTTGTTTTTGCGACACATCAGTCAGCCCCCCACCGCACCCCACAGCCCCACCCCATCGATTACCTTCTAAAGGCCAATATAAATAGGGCTGGGTGACTATATGATCGAGAATCGTGATAGTACATGACCAGTGGTGAGCTGGGAGCATATTTATGCTATGAGATGTGGCGGAAATGTGTGCGATTCTAGCTAATCGGAGTCCCCATTCTAACATTAGTTTGCCAGTTGACATATACAGACTCCGCTAATGAATGACAGAAGAAGCAGTACACAGAAAGTAATAGTAACAAATTGATGAAACACAGAGCTAAACGTGCGGCTGATGGGCATCTATGACTTTTGAAGATGAAGCTAGTTTGAAGTTCCTCCGCTGGCGGTACCTCCAGAGTGACGTGACAGAGGAAGCTGTTGTGCGTGGTATGTCGTCAACAACAAGACAATACAAGAGATACAACAAGACTGTGGCACCCAAATGATCAAGTGCAAAGCATGAAAATGCAAGCAGTTTGCAAAGCCTGACCAGGTAACCGTTAGCAGTTTAGTCGCTAATAACTAGCCGGCAGCCACCAGATAAAAGCAGCAATCAATCCTGTCATCTTTTGATCAGTCACATTTGCAAGTAGAAATGATTCTAATGCCGTATGTAGGATCCTAACTTAAAAATTATTATATTTACAGTATAAGATCTATTTATGATTCTGATTGGTCCAAAAAAAACCCCCCAAAAAAACATTTGTTTACAACTGCCACTTTAATATTGAAGAAAGTTAACTTTTTTTCTCTTAAAAATGTATTATTAATCTATCGAAAATATATTATATCTATCCATCTAAAAAAAAAAAAAATCAATATTTTTTTTCCTGGAAAAATATAAGATTACAGTTTATTCTCTTACATGTTTTTATATAAAATTGGGAGCTCTGTTTTTCAGATTCGTCATTTTAATGAAAGCCGTAGTCTGCATTGGCCTCGTAGTAGAAGTAGTGAACAGTGGCTCATTTTCATGGAAAATAGACACCTGAGAACCATTTTAAATTGTGGGGAAAAAATGCCTAACTTGTCTCGTGAAAGTGCTGCTCAACTGAATTAATTCTGAGAACGCATATAATTTATTTTGTGAAGAGCCACTGAGCAAGTGCCCACACTTGTCAAGCTGGTGTGATTCAATCATAAAGTCATTTATACGAGTCTTGACTTGAGGGCTCTATATTTCTACATATATATCTCAACATCCCGCGTGTAAAAAAATGTGACAGCGCGTGGGTTGATTCAAGGCTTTGACACCACCTACTAAATCTCTTTGGAGCGTTCAAACAAATGCAGTAAAAATAATAATAAAAATAAAATAGATCAAATCAATCAAATAACTCACCCACAGCCTCCGCCAGACCGTAGACCTTCTGGCTGTAAGCGTCCGTCTTATCCCAGATGAAGGTGTAGGACAAATCGGGGAAGGCCGGGAAGGTCTTCTGCAGCTGGCGACCCATCACGGCTACCATCAGGTGCACCTTCATCAGGCCAAAGGGTAGCCGGTCTTGGGTCAGAAGAATTTTGAGGATGGGTTTGTAGCCGGATGCCCGTGAGCTCAAGTAGACCAGGTTGAGGTCGCTTCCCGGTATGGCCACTTGCTCGTGGAGGACCTGTAGAGGCAATTGGCAGCGTTTCAAAAGGTGTCTCATACAAAGAACGCTTTCTGACTGACATGGTGACTATTTTCCAATTTGGACAATGAGCCACATGCTGTTTCACCAAGACAATACTATCTGACCAATTCTAGCATCCTGGCTCACCTGTGTTTCGGGGATGACGGGGCTGTCCTCGGGTGACGTCTTGTACAAGGTGGAAAGTGGCGTGGCGAGCACCAACGGCTCCGGCCGGCTCAGGCCTGTCAGGTAGCAGCCGGGGATGTCATTGTTCTCCTCGCGCCGCATCACAACCGTGTCTATCACGTGGAAGACGTTCCAGGGGATCCACACGGTGCGGCGTAGAGTCGGGAATGGTGCTCGTTCGTATGTCAGGGTCAGCGATGCGCCTCCGTTGGCCAGCAGGTCAAACCTGAAAGAAATTAATTGACACTTCATTAGGAACGATGATCATGTTAAATCCTAATGATGATCAGGATTTGAAAAAACAAAAAAACCCAAAACTTGGTCCCCCAATACCAGTTTCACCGATCTATGTGAAACTGAGTGAATAGCAGATAAGAGTAAAAGTCTCAAGGATGTAGGGTTGTGCTAAATTGTGAAACGTTTGGCCTGCACCATCTAATATGGGTGAAGCCTGGTCTTAAGGTTTGATAAGCATTGCAAATATTCTCAGAAAAATAATAAAAAAGTAGCCCCTGACACCAGTTTCAGTGTTCAACGTGAATTTGGTGGACATGTTGATATTAAAAGGACACCTGAAAAAGTCTTAGGGACCTACTCCTGAAAGTCAACAGGAATTCGGCCATTTTGATTTGAAGCAACCATTAATGGCGTATATCAGCAAATCTCATACTTTGATTAATTTCTTCTTGAGAATTCTCTCAAACGTATACTGTGCTTGATTTTATTAGTACAAAAGTCATGCCTGTCATTCATGTACTTTCTGATTTCATGCAAAAAGAAAACATAAAAAAAATAAAGACCTGAAATAAAACATGTCTGAGATTGACCAATACAATAATTTGGAGAGTGTCACAAAAATCAGCTGACACTGAATTGGTGGATTGGCCCATAAAATACACATATAAATATATCGACAAACATTTAACATATATACACATTTATGTACCTTAATTTGTTTGTACATTTCTATTAAATTGAGACAATTTTATTTAAATTATTTTATTTATTGATTTTATTTGTGGTTTATGATTATTTTATTATTCAGTTCTTTTTTAAATTCATGGCTGAAGTATCTGATTGGGACTCGGTATCGGCAAATACTTAAAACCAAAGTCTCAACCTGAGACTCAGGTCCCAAAAAGGTGTGATTCGGGCATTCCCCATTTTGTACTTTAGCAATTACCTTAATTGCAAACTGACATGAAACGTTACGAGCGACGAGGGCTGGTGGTTTGTCTCTCTTTGTAACTGGCTGTAAGTGGAGAAGCACAAATATATTTTTCACTTTCTAAACCCTCCTTATTCTTCGCCACTGTTTGATTGATAGAATTGGGAGCAGAGGGGGTGTTGGGGGGTGAGGATTAGCACAGCTCTTCAGATATTCCACTCGATTGGGACTCGGTATCGGCAAATACTTAAAACCAAAGTCTCAACCTGAGACTCAGGTCCCAAAAAGGTGTGATTCGGGCATTCCCCATTTTGTACTTTAGCAATTACCTTAATTGCAAACTGACATGAAACGTTACGAGCGACGAGGGCTGGTGGTTTGTCTCTCTTTGTAACTGGCTGTAAGTGGAGAAGCACAAATATATTTTTCACTTTCTAAACCCTCCTTATTCTTCGCCACTGTTTGATTGATAGAATTGGGAGCAGAGGGGGTGTTGGGGGGTGAGGATTAGCACAGCTCTTCAGATATTCCACTCTGTAAATCGCCTGACAAGGAGCGTGATAAATGCTTGTGGATGATCACACTTGGTCAACCAACAGAGCCGTCCTTACAAAAAGGATGGAGGATGGGGGTGAGAGTGGGTGTGCGCA